ATATATATATAAAGCTACATCTGTTTAAAGCAAATGGACAGTGTGAGTGTGAGTGTGAGTGTGAGTGTGAGTGTGAGTGTGTTGTCAATGGCTCACTGATTTGGAAGTATAAGAATCTGGAAATAATAATGATATTAACAAAACATAATATGTACAAGCTACAGCAAATCCTGATCTACTGTGACTTTGCATAATATGAAAAGAGACTTAACGGACCTTTTCATTTCAAAACGTGAAAAAAAATAATTCACAAAAACATTATTTGTACATATCTTCGGTACCAACACCGATTTGATAGCAAAATGTTTAAATTCAAGTGCGTTAACATACAAATGGACTAAATGAGGCGAAGGAAAGGTGAGTTATGCTATTCGAATGTTGTATCGCTTTGGACTCTTGTGTTTTTAAAACTCAGAATTTGTGAGCAATCACATTTTGCCCAATGACACTGTACACACACTTTTTCAAAGGGCTTTTCCTAGCCCCCCCCATGCATCTATAGTTTAGTTTTAGTAAGAGTTTTACTGCACTTGCAACACAATAAGGTCATTTAAGTGCCGAAGGTTAGAAGTGTTACTAGAGAGTAACAAACACATAATAGAAGGAGGGGAGATAAAGATGATAAGATTTTTTATAGGAAAGAAGGAGCAAACCACACCAGAGCACCCGCCAACAACCACCCACATGCATCTATCATAGCTGTATTTTTCAGGGGGGGGGGATTTTATTTTAGTAGAGAGAAGCTCATCAACACAGTAACGGTCATTTAGTTAGTTTTTTTCAGTTTTAGTAGAGGTTTTACACGGCGCTCGCAATTGCATAAGGTCATATGAGCGCCTGAAGATTACAGGTGTTACAAGAGTAACAAACATAAAAAAAGAAGAAGGGGAGATAAGGACGATAGATGTTTCATAGGAAAGAAGGAGCAAACCACACCAGAGCACCCGCCAACCACCCACGGTCATTTAGAGAAGGAAAGAAGCAAGACAGACAGACAGACAGAAACAAAAGAGAGAAAGAAAAGAAGTAGGACCTACCAGTGGCGCTCTCCAACCACCTGCTCCATTTCTCAGATCAAAGATGTCTCACTGACCAAACCAACCCCCCCCCCCCCCCCCAAAGAAAAAAAAAAAAATCCCC